GGGCAGGTGACCCGATTCTAGCCCAGAGGCCTGGTGCATGCCACAAGGACTGGGTGGGGCTGTGGGTCTGGGGGCATGACCTTGACCTCCCACTCCCACCCTGGGAGCCAGCCTAGAAACTAGACAGGGGAAATACCCACCTAGAGTGAGCGTACCCAGGAAGTGCCACCAGCATCCCCCCAAATCCAGGGCTCCGAGGACATCAGCCCTTCCAGGTGCCCTAAGCCTTCCCGCCAGGCAGCTGCTCCCTGTGTGGCAAGCGCACCCTCTGCCCTTCTCCCCCGCAAGCCTCCACTGCCCTGCTGGGCTGGGGCACAGAACCACCACCAGAACGGAGCAAGAAGGAAGACAGCCATGCCACCACTGACTTGGCAAACCGGAGCACGTCAAACACAAACTTCTCCATCTTTATCCCATTGGGTTCGAGTGGCTTTACCAGAGTCCCCTCCTCGTCCACGTAAGGGACCTTCTTCACGGCCACGTGGGGCTCCAGAAAGGGCTCAAATTCCCTGGGGCAGGAGGGCAAGGGTGCAGTTTAGACAGCACCGGGAGGCCTGTCCCCTGAGGACCTGGCCAGACCACTGCTGCAGCCACAGTCCTGCCAAGCCCAGGTCCTGGGGCGGGGGCAGGGGTGGGGTGCTGTAGACTGAGTTCACAGCACAGCGGAGCAGGAGTGCAGAGGCCAGGCCAGATCTCTGAAGAGGTTGGGTCCCCTCCCCTCCCTGCACCCCTGTCCAGAGCCAGACACCTCCGTCACACCCCTGCCCAGGCAAACGGAAACAGGGAGCTACCAGAGAGCAGGGGTCCTGCAGGACCGGCAGCACCTCAGCTTTCGAGACAGGAATCTTTCTTCACCCCAAGTCCTCAGTGCCAGAGTGAGGGAGGCCAGGCAGCTCGGGTGGGCCACAGCTGCTGTGGCCCTGGCACCCGGTCCCACCATCCTGGGCGGATGCCAGTGGCTCTGGCCTCCCGCCTAGGCTGCCCGCGTCTGCACACCTGGTGACAGTCTGGAGGAAGCCTCGTGTGAAGAAGTGGTTGCAGATGTTGCCGGCGCTGTAGAGCAGACGCCCGTCCGGGGTGCGCAGCCGGGCAACCTCAGGGCTGATCTCGCTGTACTCCACCACCTGGGCCACGCCATCCACCTGACACACCACTCCCACAGGCTCCTCGGGACTGGCCTTTTCCACCACCTGCCACCAAGACCAAGGAAGAACTCCTGGCTGAAGGCGGGGCGATCGGTCGGGGGCGGGGCGGGGCAGCTGGAG